CATAGGTTTTGACTAGGTTGAAATTAGAGGCCTTAGTAAGAAGTAGTTTTTAATTTGTCTAGTTCCCACCTCTTAGGCATCACGATCCCTTCAGGTGACATATGAACATGTCACATGAAGTGAAACTCACTTTGCTCACTTTTACATATTTATCACATCTAATGTTATTTACTTCGTCATTTGCTCTATTGTATGCTATTTTTAGGGAAATTTTGTTGTGGGACATCGAACAAACATTGTACTTGCTGGTGGACACCGCCAACTCGGAAATATGCCCAGTACCATTATGAAATCGCGTTTCTTTGCCACCAGACACCGCAGCCATTAAAATATTAATTTTCATAGTTTGGGAGTGAGAAAGGGCAGTGAAAAGACCATATTGCCCCTGTGGTCATCTTCCTCCTCCCGACTACAGCTGGTGAGGTCCGTCCATGTCCTCCAATCGCTGGTGGGCAGGAATTGTTTCGGCCAACTCCAGCACCGGCACCGCCTAGTCCGTCAAGTGCGTGGTGACGGGAGGTTCATGCTTGTCTGCGCCGCGAGTGCGAGCAACCATACGCAATAGTGAGAGGAGGTGAGCGTGCGGCGAGGAAGTACTCAACCATTTGAGCGAGGCGAGCAATGGGGCCACCGAGGAAAGACACAGAGTGGGACATGAAGAGGGAGCCCTTAAGCATGTCGATGTCGGCCAGAAGGGACCGAAGGTCGTTGATGACACCAATGAAATCCTAGAAGTCTGCATGGCAGAGCTCCCAGATCTCAGCCTCGCCGTCCTACGCCATGCCTTGGAGCGAGGTGAGTAGGGGCTTGGGGCGGTCGCAAACGAAGGCCTAGCGCATAAAGCGCTCAGGTCCTTCCCGGCCATGATGGCGGTAGAGAGCTGCACAAGCTTCACCTCGGATAACGATGCTAGGGTCGCGGAGGTGAGGGCGCAGCTGGTGTATGACGCGGTGGCAGGGAGATCTAGATGGGGTGGCGGTGTTGGAGTTGGGCAGAGCGAATCCTTCCTGCCAGCGACGGGGATGATATGGATGGACCTCATCAGTTTGAGTTAGGAGGAGGAAGATGACCACAGGGGCAATATGGTCTTTTTCCTACCCTTTCTCACTCCCAAACTGCGAAAATTAATACTTTAATCGCTGCAGTGTCTGGTGGCAAAGAAACATGATTTCACAATGGTACTGGGCATATTTTTGAGTTGGCGGTGTCCACCAACAAATACCACATTTGTCCGATGTCTCACAGCAAAATTTCCCTATATTTTAACATCTGAGCACATTAACTTTTGTAATTTTATATTTAAATGTTCGTAACCATTAGCATGCTCATGTCAACTGTAGTTACAACAGTACTATTGTTTATTTGGCAATCAACCTTAGTTGGCCCTTTATTGATTTTATTACCTAAATACTTGTTGAATGAAAATTAGTAGGGTATAAAATTAAAAGTCTCATGACCCTTGTCTTTGAAGTCTGCCATTTTGCCCTTGTATGTTGCCACTCATTAGCATATGATACATATGGTCCTTTAATACACTAGACAAACTAACATTACTTGTATTAAGCAGACCCTATAACAAAGATATTATCAATGTGCCCAAAAGAAAAGTACCTAATTTTCAATTATTTCTTTGACAGAATAGTTGACATGACCAAAAGAGTGAAAAAAGATGTCTGATTTAGTAAAGATTTTGATATTATTTTTGTGTATAATCATTTAGGTGATTTAAAGAAAATATTATGTTTGGACTAGAAGGAATGAAGTCATCAATTATTTGTATTGAAATCAAATTGCAGGTATGTTAATGCTCATAATTTGAGCAATTATGAGCATCAAACACAAAGAAAAGCTACGTCTAGGAAAAGGTAATGAAATTTTAAAATTAGATTATTAGAAATTGCACCACTATGCTATAATTATTGTATAATCTGATTAAAATTTGATATATTAACCCCAGTGTTGTGGAGTTGTGGATGCATAACTCCACCTACCATAATTAATGAAAGAAAGAATGGCCACTTATGTCATTACTGCCTAGCAAAGGCTTGAATTTACCTCCCCTTGTATAAAAACAAATGAACTATATATGGTTGTGTGGTAGTTCAGATGATGTTATATATAGAACATTAGTGTTTCTTAGAATTAGGATTTTTAACCGTGGACTATGGAGATATTGTTACAAAATAGTTACATAGAAAATTGGGACCGGTATAGTTTGATAGACAACTGAGCCTTGTGTGTTTGATGAACAAAGCATTCTTTAAAATAAACTAATATTTATATGCATTATTCAAGGGTACCTTGTATCCGTTAATTCCATTCAAAGATGATCGATTTTCAGTGTAATACCATTGCCCTCGTTTACTTTGAAGGTAAGGATATATGATTCCTCCGGAAATGAAGCCCCCAAAAAGCAACCCAAAGTTTACAACACGTGGAACAATCATACCAAGACCAACCCATGATGCAGAGAAATCAAAATAGAACCTGTAAATATAAAACACATGTTAGTACTTTTTTAGAATGTTCTTGTAAATGCTTATGCTACATTGATGATGAAAGGAAACCTTTTTGTGCTCTCATATGTAGTCATTTCCATGTTTGTTTCCTCACAGCCCAGGGGTGTATATATCTTATATATCTAGCCCAACATAAGTTTACATGTATATGTTGTAGTTAACCAATCCACTGGAGATGGAATGTAAAGTGAGTATGTCAGACGTGTGGTGTATGTGAACATATGACTACTCTCTCCATCCCATCCCATAACAAATAAGTTTGTAAGGTTTAAAATTTGTCAAGAAAAAATGAACATTCTATACAAACATGGAAGATTATTGTCTCCTAATGCGGAAGCTAATTATGGGTGTATGTAGACGATAACTACCAAATCAAGAGACATCTTATGGGAAAGGACAATAGATGAGGGTACATGCGTCTTTCGCCAATGTCCTTAATCTATCTAAAATTGTTTAGAAACCTATTTTCTATGGGACGGAGGGAGTACTATTTATATGTCTATATGGAAGTAATACAATGGTATATTAAAGCCTTTATCTTTCTATGTTTTAAAATAGTTTGCTTTGGAATATCATAGAATGTGTGTATCAGCATACTCAAAGTGATAATATGTAAGTGAACATTGGAAAGCGGTCATGTATTAATGGTAGAACCAACTACACATTCGTGTGGAAAGGAATTAGAAGAAAAGTGTAGCTTTTATTATAATAATGCATTTCTACGGCATGTCATTGGTAGGGATGAAAATAATCACAAACAGTCATATTTACTGTACAAAAATAATTCCCAGTTGATCAGAAACTCACTATATTTGCATTTAGTAAGGATATTAATAAAGTGATAAAAAGAAATTAGAAAAATGAAAAGTTAAATACGGTAATGACCAGAAATGGCCATAAAAGATATTACTATTATGGAAATGAGCCCCAGTAAATGGAATATTTCATTCTCGCTTTGATCGCCTAGTCATTGGATAGGTCAAAAGACGTATTAAATTATAATTGATTTCATACCCAATTCAACCCAAGGTACCAACTGTGGGTACCTCTAATGTTATGATCAATGGTATATCTTCAATGATAGTTACGAACTCTCCCAAACTTTTATCTCCAGAATTGATTGTATTGATGTAAACATTTAAATCATTAGCAAATGTGAAATAATGTGATTGACTCTTGATGAATGGTTGGTGAATCCAGATCACTAGTGTAAGTTTATTTGGTTGATTTATTCTCTTTTATTTTATAATCATCACAATGTGCCCGTGTTGGACCTACTACCCATTATTAACCTATCAAGAAGCAATATACAAATGTTTCTTCTTAGTGTTAAATAGTATATGTAGATCCATGCTTTGTGGTAAATTTGTTATTATGGACACGGACCTTTGCCTGAATCTTGAATAAACCCAAGACAATATACAATAAGAAACAAACAAAATTCTGCCCTTGATATTTCATGGATTAAAAATCCAACTTTAACTAGTGGGCACTATTCAAACATTGTGCCCCTATTCAAACAATGCCTTTCTATATCATAAAAGGACTTTTCATATTATAAAAATTCATATTTACTCTTGTAGAAATTTTGTAGCTACTTTTTCTTGTGGGTTCAAATTTTTAATCTAAATACTTAAAAAATATGGAAATTCAGAAGCACATTTGATGCGAATGAATTTCATTATAGCTATTTTGTTATTGTAGAGTTAGAAAATAATATACCTACAAAACTTTCATAGAAAATAATACGGGAAGAAATGCTACAAAATTGAAGTAACGCCATGTTTAAAATATTGTTGCTTGTTTGAAGAATTAATGATTTGTCCCAGTAAATCGATAATATAAGGGTGTATGTGGGAAAGAATGATCATATATTATGACAGATTAAGAGAGAACAAAAAAGATGCATGTGTTCTCATTTTATTTACTAATTAGACACTATCATTGATTAATGGTGATTGGTTAATGGCAAGTAACATTATAATACCTACTAAATTTATGCAACTATTTAATGCAAAAACTATTTTGTCCTGTCCCTTATATTTGAGTACATTTTTGAATGCTTGAATGCGCTATATTACAAGACTAAGAGAGTACTCATCTATATATTCATAGAAGGAAAGCCCCGAGGCGAAGGGGCAGAGTTATGGTCTATGGTTATCTTTCTATGGCTCACAGTTTCTGAATAGAAATGACAATTATTTGTGATATTATGCACGCGATCACAAATAAAAATTGTGGAGGAAATAATCTGAATAAATTCCCCACCTATGCTTATAAAGTTCTAGTCCAAATGTTGGGAAGACCTGAAATCCGCAACTATCACCTCCAGTATAGAACCATTGGAATACAGACCAAGAAATGCTTCCGAGAAATGCTTTCAGTAAAGCACGTACCTGCAACCTGAACTAATGTTAGTGCAAATATCCTAAAGAACATATAAATTATGTCACTTACATTTTCAATCAGAAACGCTAAACTTTACTTTGCTACATATGCCCCTTGAGGGGTATGGAAACAATTTATAAGGTGAGCCACAACTGAGCCTGTTGGAAATAGCAGTCTGTAATCAAGGATCATGACCTACAGTGAGAACAAAAACAGTAAGTGGAGTGTCATTATATGTCCTCAAGTAATAACCTAATTTTCAAACTTCCATTATTACAAATAAATAAATATTGTTATTAAAGATGCTTAAATGCTGAAAAAAATATTTGGTTGATAAATTATCATGTTCTTCTATGTTTGCTAGGATTCTTATATTGGCTACATTCATAAGCCTCTACAAATATGGACCATATAAGGCCCATGATTTGATGATACTATTGAAGGCTACACTTACATTTAACTGGCAGTTAGTAACTTCAGGAGGCTGATCATCAAACGCTAAATGCTAAACGCTAAGCAGCTAGACGTAACCTCATGTCTGGTTTGTTACCTCAGGTAGTTGATGATGATATAATTAGTTTACAGTATTCTGATGGCAGTTCACTGTTTTTAGAGGATGACATTGAAAGGGAAAAGAATCCCAAATGGTTACTTATTTGTTATGAGCATGACTGGTATGAAAATCAATTATGACAAAGTGATTTGCTTACTAATTGGCTTTGAAGAGAGGATAGGGCAAATGAGTTTGCTAAAACCTTTTGCTGCAAGAGAGGGAGTTTCCCAATAAAATATTTAGGTGTCCCCTTACATTTCTCATAATTGAAAATAGAACATTTGCAACCTGTGATTGATAGGGTGATTAGAAGAATTGCTGGTTGGAAGGGTAGGTTGCTGTCTTATGTAGGCAGGCTGGCCCTCCTTAAGGCTTGTTTGGCTAGCACTCCCATTTACTTGCTGTCTATCATTAAGTTTCCTAGATGGGCAATTGAGATGATTAACTCTCTGATACCTCATTTATTTTGGAATAACAATGAAGATAAACATAAGTATCCTTTGGCCAATTAGCAGCTATTAGCTCAAAAGAAATAGGTAGAGGGCTTTGGGACCCTGATAAGAAGTCTAAACCTTTCACTTTTGAGCTCTTTGATTTTTAGCTATGATTTAAACTCTAATTCCATTTGGACAAAAACTGTGGACCATAAATACAGGATGAATAATCCTAATATATTTTGATGCCCAGATTCTTTTACTTCACCTTTTTGGAAAGGGGTTTTGTGGGCTGCAAAGGCTGCTTTGATGGGTATTATATGGAAGGTGGGTAATGGTAGGAGGATCATTGGATTGATAACTCTAGCTTAGCTATTCAATTTTGGCCTTTGTATGTGACCAATGTGCAAAAGGCAAATCCATTAGTGAGGTTTTGGGATGGGGAGGCTTTAAAACTTTCTTTCATAGGACTGTGTCAGGAAGACTGATGCATTTATGGTATGAGCTTTTGGAGGTGGTAGAGAGTATAAGTCTCCTGAATGAACAGGATCAGATTATCTGGAGCTTTAGCTCCAATGGAAAATTTTCGGTCCGGCCACGATATGCTGTGATTAATCATAGAGGTGTTATGCCTGTTTATGTGCATGCTGTTTGGAAGCTCCAAATTCCTCCTAGAATGCAGATCTTTTTGTGGCTATTAGCTAATAACAGGTTGCTATCTAGAGATAATTTTCCAAAGCCTAGAGAGGTCATGGATCAGTCTTGTTTGTTCTGTAAGGAAAAGGAGACAATTATTCTTTGATTGTTGTGTAGCTAAGAGAGGACTACTGTTTTTGAGGTGTTACATCTAAATGAGGGCTGTGATTTTGAGCTTATTGTTTCTTGTTGGATTGTGAATAAGCAGCATGCAAACTTTAATACTATTAGTTCTTCAATGCTTTGGTGTTTCTGGAAATTATGTAACAAAATGTGTTTTTCAGGGCGAGTTTTGTACCACCGGGGAGAAAAGCTTACTGCGATGGATTGTTAGGATGCTAAGAAGACAGATGCCAATGTTAATTCAAGCTGATATCAGGAGTTGGATGTTATCGTTTGTGCAGCATCTGGAGAAGTACGTAGATCAACCACCAAGAATCAAACTGGAAGGCCTCAGAGACGATTCAGGAACTCAGTGGGGGAGGAGATAGATGGACTCTCGGCTTGTAGGGAGCTCCACCGCTGTGTCTCATTCCATGGTTGAAGCTGTATGTTTGAGTTGCAATTTATGAATCTGTAATGCGATCAGCTTAAGCTATGCCGGGCATTCCTGAACGCTTGGACAATTTTAACGTTGTAATGGTACGCTTTATGTCAATGAAGAGGGCCGGGGGGGGGGGCGGGCTCTTTTCTGTAAAAAATCATCATAGATAGCAGCGATCTGTGAATAGTGGAGGATAAATTACCTTAACCATGGGTATCATTGCCATTATTCCCACCATACTAGTGAAGAAAATTAATAGCCCATATCTTCCCATCGGTACGTCCTCAACAATGTCTTCTTTGTCTGGATTGTCACTGAGAGATTTTGCTAACTCAGAAGTCATTGCAACAAGGTACGTTGCAAAACCACCTAATAGAAAGAGGGCAAATTAAAATTTGATCACTTAATTTGAATGCCAAAAATAATTGGTATGCAATGCATGGAAACAAGTAGACAAAAAAACAGCATACATACTACGATTCTTAACGTGACACGGTTGATTATTACCATACTAATCTACGTATGGAATATTTTTTACCACACACACACACACACACACACACACACACACACACACACACACACACACATATATATATATATATATATATATATATATATATATATATATATATATATATATATATATATATATATATAAGAACAGCATGGAGACCTCTATAATGTTACAACGTTATATATATACTTACTTGCGACTGCCACGTTAACACATGTGATGACACTGGTCTGGAGGAAGACATTCTCCTGCCGGGTGAATGGGGCCGCAGCTATACCGCAGCGCCGCAGCAGGGACACGAGGCCCCTGAGGGTGGCGAAGCAGAGGATATTTGAAGGCATGTTGAATGCTCCTACGAGCCCGACGATCATGTAGATCCGTAGTGACACCATAGAGAATATGAACGCATACACCACCGCGACGGCCATGGATCGCAGTGTCACCAGCCCCCAGAACCCAGGATATGGCTGACCCTCGAATGCCCTCTCCACAGAGGGTGCCGACTCTCCAATTGTGGCATCCATGATGGGGCCTGACTGCTTGCTCGAGCCGTCGAGTGCAAGCTCCCCCTTGTGATATCACTAGTGTTTTTTATTACTGATAGAGGAATATAAGTTAGTTTCTTAAGGAGGGGATACGAGGGGATGCATGAGGTTGGGAGAGTCGAGAGGTCGAGAGGTAGTATAGCCAGGCCGAGAGTAAAAATAGAATTCCTAGCAGACGCTGAGTGGAGGATACCTGGTTTTGCAAACACAGAGCAGAGTGACCACAAGAGGAAGAGGTCAAATACAGAGCAGAGTGACCAGAGGCTGATAAATTAGATGTCACCCTTTTTTATTTTAATTAGAATAAACAGGGAGCTTTATTAAGCCTGTGTTACAGCCATCCTGATGATAAATTAAATGCTCCAAACACCTATGGATCACTGGTAGTCCAGTAATTGAGGAGTAAATTCCTGGATTGTAATCGGAAATTAGCCTAATCCCTTGAGTGTCACTGTTTGAAAATTTCATTTCCTACCACTAGTACACGATTGATTTTCACTTATTGTTGCTATTTTTTACTGGTGGTTCATAATGTATAGGCGCCACTAGAAATTAAACTGTGAATCCAGGGTATGAACCGCCAGTCTAAATTTATTTATACCGGCTGTTTTCTTAAGTTTACCACTAGTAAAAATACATGATTTCTACTAGCGATAGCCTAAGAAAATAGCCAGTAAAAATGCATTTATGCCGGCGGTTTTCCTAACCTAGCACCACTACAAATAATTTAAAATTAATTATTTGAGCTTTTCAAATGATCTTGGATGGAGAAATGGTTTGAACAAAAGTTGTTGGATTCGAAATGATCTACAACTTTATGGTTGACAGCCTTTTCATTTAAAATCATTTCGGGCATAGAAATTATATTTTATGATTAATGATTTTTAAATTCATATTTTTTGAATTTCTCAAATGATCTCGGATGGGAAAACGATCAAAACAAATGTTGTAGATCTCGATGATATCTAAAACTTTATAGTTGAAACATTTTCATTTGAATCCGTTTAGGGCTTTAAACTCCATTTCAAAATTTAGCGGAGTGAATACTAAGGGAATATTTCTGCTATTTACTCACAAGTGACTTCAGGGTGCAGTGGTAAGGGTTGTAACATGCCAGGCTTGAGGTGCTGAGTTCGTTTCCTGGAGGTCGCATATCCATGCATTTCTCGTGAACTCGTGAAAATGCTTAGAATCATGCGAGCCTCCATGCACAATTTTTTTTGCTATTTTATCCGGATTTGCAATTTTAGAAAAGCATTTATAGTGGTGGTGTAAATCGATTTATAGTGGAGGTTTTTGTAAGAAAACCACTTGTGTAAATATTTGTAGTGGCACTTTTCTAGAAGACACCTTTGACGTTTATGATTTTTACTGGCCTTTCACACGGGTGGTTGGTCAGTGAAAATAACCTCATGTACTAATGTTTTGTGTACTAGTGTAACATGCCTTTTTTGCCTAACGGTGATTGACTGACAAACAAAATGTCTATTCTGTCCTTGTCTTCTTGATTATGCTTCCTCGAATCAGATTTGCTTGTCTTTTGTCCGTCCGGTGTGCAAGCATGCGAATCATGTGACTGAGGTTGCGCTACACGATTACTACGTCGTGTGTCGTTGAAGCACCGTGGTGATTGTTGGGGGCAGGCGTCCCTCTTCATAACCCCTGCTTGCCCTCCGCCGTGTCTGTATTCCGTTCTATAATTATTAAGTGAGATGGTGTGTTTGCACACTTCGCGATGCACCTTGCTTTTGGGCTCTGGAGTTCCACGGCGTTCGGAAGAGCACAAAAGCGATAGCACTCGGCGTTGCGCCAGTAGCGACCATCATAGGCATGGTAGTATTCGCTGTCCCGTGAACTTGTGCCCCATTTCGCTGTGCTGTGTAAGCGCTCATCGTCATATGCAGGTGGTATCCAGGTTTGGTCACGCCTGCAAGCAAAGTCATGGCGACGATGAGGACGCCCTGGGCCAAATTGGGGCAGAAGCGAAGAAGCCGATTCAAGGGTTAAAGGTGCCAGCCGTAAAGACCGATGACGGCCCAGTCCAAGTCGAACCTATCCCATGTTTTGCTTCTGCTTGCTGCCTCCGCCCTTCTCGGGGTTGGCGATGAAGTCGCCCTTCCGCTTGCAGTCCTTCTTCAGTTCTTCTTGGGTGAGGAAGGCCCTGCTTTGTCATCAGGGCACGACTTGTACTTGCTGAGGTCGATGTTGACGGCGTCTTCGCCGCCGGCGTACTCGTGGGCGAGTCAAACATCTTCCTGGTGGTGATGTTATTTTTCCTGCTGACGTTGCGGATGAGATCCTTGTCGTTTACGCCTGTTATGAAGGCGTTGATGATATTGGTCTCAGGGACTTGGTGAAGCGGATTCTTGGGCTGGTTGAAGCAACTGATGTAGTCGGGCAAGCTTTCGTTCGGCTCACGCTTGCAACCCGAGAGTTTCCATGCCGAGCCGGGCTTTGCGTAAGTCCCCTCAAAGTGGTCATGAAATTCACGCTCAAGGTCGCTCCATCAGCTGATGAAGCCTTCGCCCAGGTGGTTTAGCCAGGTCCTAGCTGAGTCCACGAGGAAGAGCGGTAGGTGTTATATCATGAAGTCTGGATCTGATGCAAACGCAGCTTTCATGGCTAGCCGGTAGTTTACGAGCCAGGTCTCTGGGTTAGTCTGTCCGTCGTACTTCTCGACATGGCTTGGAGAACGAAACTTCTTGGGCGTAGTCTGGTCCCGAAGGACCGAACCAACCCAATCCGAGGAGTAGTCTGTGTTATAACTGTTGAATCACTAGGACCATAAATCTAACCGGGTACGGTAGTTTTATTCGGGATAAAGAATATATTACATCCTATTACATGTAGAACCAGAGAGACAGAGATGGAAGGGAAAGGGTGCTGAATCTGACACCGCAGAGGGGGAAGGTTCAGCGGACGCCATCAGGTTCGTTGGTGATGTCTGCGCACGGGCAGCGACGGTCGGTGAAGAGGGCGGTGAAGACGTCGACGTCGATGGAGCGGGTGGCGCGGCTGGTGGCTTCCGTCCACTGGTTGCTCCCCTCTCTGATTGGATTAGGGTTTAGATGTCGATGGGGAGCTCGGCTCAGGTCAACCTCGTGATAAGGGCCACCGGCCCCCACCTCTTTTTATAGCGTAGGGTGACAGGGGCCCTCCAGCCATAGTGAGCTGGGCGTCCCCGATCAGGGTACGAATCAAAGGCCCAACTGGGCCGTTGGGTTCAGTTAGGATTAGAGATCAAACTAACAATCTCCCTCTTAATCTCTTTCCGTTTTTCACTTTCATCTAATTTACTTTTGTTTATTCCATTACAGATTAGCGCATAGAGCATGTCTCATCATCACAGTCCATTACCGATAGATTTAACAGCTACAATGTACTACTTTGTTCTGAAATAGATACTTATCTTTGACCCTTCTTTTGTCTAGGAATTATAGGCTTTCTGTTAAACCCATGCCGGCTATATGTTCTCTGACCACGTTGGGTGGTAAGCCTTTTTGTAAGCGGATCCGTGAGCATCTTTACTGTACTTATATGCTCAAGACTTATGACTTGATCCCGGACTTTATCTTTCATAACATAATACTTTATGTCAATGTGTTTGGTAGCACCACTTGACTTATTGTTGTGAGTATACTGTACTGCCGGATTATTATCGTAGTATAACTTAAGTGGTGTATAGATGTCGTCAACCACCTTCAAACCGGATATGAACTTCTTTAGCCAGTTCACCTGCCCCGTTGTCTTATAACACGCTACAAACTCGGCATACATTGTGGACGATGTAGTGACGGTTTATTTTGAGCTTTTCATGAAATAGCTCTCCCTACGAGAGTGAATACATATCCAGACATGGATTTTCTATCATCTCCCGCATAATCAGAATCTGAATACCCCACTATATGAAGTGAATCAGATCTTCTATACGTCATCATGAGGCCTTTCGTTCCTTGCAAATAACGCAAGACTTTCTTTACTAATTTCTAGTGTTCTATTTCAGGATTGCTCTAGAATCTGCTAAGTAACCCAGTAACAAATGCCAAGTCAGGGCGCGTACATACTTGAGCATATTGCAAGCTTCCGACAGCTGAAGCATATGGAACCGCTCTCATTTGATCGATCTCATATTGGTTCTTAGGACATTGAAAATCCCTATATCTGTCGTCCTTGGCTATAGGAGCAGGTGAGAGACTACATTTGTGCATACTGAATTTCTTTAAGATTTTCTCTATGTATGCCTTTTGTGACGGTCCTAATACCCCTTTACTTCTATCTCGGTGAATCTCGATCCCTAGAACGAACGAAGCTTCAACAAGATCTTTCATATCAAATTTTGAGGACAAAAAGTTCTTTGTCTCCAGTAGTAGACTGACATCACTACTAGCAAGTAAGATATCATCCACATACAGGACAAGGAAGATGAATTTCTCATTCTTAAACTTTGTATAGACACAATTGTCCTCTACATTCTCTTTAAACCCAAAATTTCTTATTGTCTAATTAAACTTCAAGTACCACTGTCTTGAAGCTTGTTTTAATCCATAAATAAATTTCTTTAGGCGGCATCCCATTCGTTCTTTTCCTTCCATGACAAAACCTTTCGGTTGTGCCATGTAAACATTTTCCTCTAAATCCCCGTTGAGAAATGCCGTCTTTACATCTATCTAATGTAATTCTAAATTATAATGTGCCACTAATGCTATTACGATTCTGAAGGAATCCTTACATGAGACTGGAGAAAAGGTCTCATTATAATCAATCCCTTCTCTTTGTGTAAAGCCTTTTACCACAAGTCGCGCTTTATATCTCTCTATATTCCCTTGAGAGTCAAGTTTTGTTTTGTAAACCCATTTATAGCATACTGTTTTGGCTCCTTTAGAAATTATTTCCAAATCCTAAACTTTATTGGCATTCATAGATTTCATTTCATCTTTCATGGCCTCAAGCCACTTTGATTAATGATCACTTCTCATGGC